ATTGTTCTGGCCTTGACGACAGATGGCAGACAGCGGGGAAGTTGCTGATGAGTTCAACTCTCCAATTATCTCGGTCCGAGCTGGGCGCTCCTTTGGACATTCCGTTTCTGTCAGGTAATGGCACGAAACAGGGGCACAGCCAAGCCATGGTATGGACAAGTGTCAATAGTCAGGCGTGACGAGAATTGGGAAGAAATTGAAACATTTGCAAGACCATCAAGTGTCCGCTGTTGCGAGTGCACGTCTGTCAACCGATTAAGATATAGGCTGTGGACTCGGCCTCGGCAAACTGCGACCACTGTCTACAACTGGAGCCGACGGATGTCCACTGAGCATCGCATGCAGTACATTTGTTCTTTCCTCCTTATACCAACCTAGCTCAACAGCTTGTGACTGAAATTCGGCTTTTGGAGAGCGCCGGGGCCAAAACTCTCCAAACAATTACCTTGCGAAACGGGGTTAACCGTCAACGTACTCTCTTGCAGATACTTATACCCTCTTCCCTCCCTCTTGGACATCCATATCATCTGCACCACCTGTAGACGTTTCACGGCATTCGTCTCGACCTTCCTAAAGCTCTTGATCGCTCACTGATTCTGTCCTTCCATGGATCGGTACGCGACTAGTGTCTCAGCTACTCACAGTGGCACAGTAGCTGATCTCGTTCTTCCATCACTGTCAGCTATGCCAAGATCGAAAAAGTCGGTACGTGTCGCAGTACCACGTCTGTGCTGACCTCGCACGAACCGAAGTGTAAAATGCATTGCAGGAGAGGGTACGCATCACTCGGCTGCACCCCCTGTCGCTCGCTGATCTGATATTGCCTTGCCTTCGATTCTCGTCGCACCACGCGTGCAGGAACGTACGGTGTCGTCTACAAGGCAAGAGATGTAACCACGAACCAGATTGTTGCGCTCAAGAAAATCCGCCTGGAAGCTGAGGACGAGGGCGTCCCCAGCACTGCAATCCGCGAAATCAGCCTTCTGAAGGAATTAAAAGACGACAATATTGTCAGGTATGCATGCACCGTCTGTCTTTAATTTTCTATCTCGCTTCCAGTGGTACGCCGTTATTTGACCGTTTTTCGGCAGATTACTAGATATTGTACATGCAGACCAAAAGTTGTACCTTGTCTTCGAGTTCCTCGACGTAGACCTCAAACGGTACATGGAACATGCAAACTCCAGCGGCTCACCAATTTCCATCGATATCGTCAAGGCAAGTTGCGTTACTCCAATCCGTTACAAAACTGTCCAACACCGCGCATGATTACGCGATAGCGAACGCGCTCGCAGCGCGCGTCTTCGCTTCTGTGCACTGGTTGGTGGCGCCAATCAGTTGCTACGCGTAACCTCGTTACTTTCTTCGTGCTGAGACATCTATCCAAATGCTCCCCGCACGTGGTTGTGTTCCCCACACGGAGGGATGCTATTTGATTACACGTCCCCCAGACTTCTTAGGTGCTAATCATTTCTAATGCTGATTGCTTTTTCCCTCATAGAAATTCACCCACCAGCTCAGTTCTGGCCTACTTTATTGTCATTCTCATCGCATCCTTCATCGCGATCTGAAACCGCAAAACTTGCTCATTGACAAACGTAACAACCTGAAGCTAGCAGATTTTGGCCTGGCTAGAGCCTTTGGTATACCTATGAGGACTTATACCCATGAGGTCAGTTTTATCAAAACCAAAGGGCCTGTGACTTTATCTCTCGATCTAGGTTGTCACCCTTTGGTACCGCGCCCCTGAGGTCTTACTCGGATCCCGGCACTATTCGACAGCCATCGATATGTGGTCCGTTGGATGCATATTTGCTGAGATGGTCATGAGAGGAAATCCTCTTTTTCCTGGTGACTCTGAGATAGATCAAATCTTCAAGATCTTCAGGTAGGTGCGAGTCTCCTTCAGCTACTCCGATTCTAATGGAACCATTTCAGAATTCTGGGAACACCAAGCGAGCAAAGTTGGCCCGGAGTTAGTCAGTTACCAGATTACAAGGAGACATTCCCACAATGGTCGAGGCAGGAATTGCGCAATATTGTACCTAACCTCGATGACTTGGGCATCGACCTGCTGTCTGTGAGTGATCAACGCATCCTTCCCTCTGGCAGACCAGTCATATGGACATACCTCTCACAGCGGACGTTGACTTATGACACCGCAAAGCGCATCTCAGGCAAGACTTCAATTTGCAATCTACTCTTGGTGCTAACACCTTACCTCATCAGCGAAACGTGCTCTTGTCCACCCGTGGTTCGCAGATTACACTTCGTGAAAAAAGTACTCTATGAGACACCAATCACGCTTAGTTTCTCGCCGCATTCTGTTCTTTAGCTATGCATACGGTATCTGTCCGCATAAGTTTCACGTAAATGTTGGCCATACAGTCTGATGTTCCTAGTACGTACACGCTCACCCTTTCATCGAGTCTCGAGGTCTGGCCGGCGCCTGCCCCGGATTATTTGCCAAACGGGGGAGGTTACGGCTACATGCAGTAAGGCGTTGCCCGTGATAAAGGCAGCGCATTTCAGTCACAGCTTGAGTGACTCCTTGTTCTCCTTCCTCCACACTAGCCTCGAGCTTTACTCGACCACAGCGACTCTGATTTCTGTCGATAAAATCTCACTACCAGAACTGAGTCAATGGACGACGACGTCCAGTATCTTGGGATGAGGCTCGCTTTACCAGAACCCCTGGATGGCCCCTGTGAAAAGCAGGGCGCTGTTACAGGCATGTTGTCCTGGCCTTCAGGTAGTCCTTACTCTAATTGAATGCAGGAATTACCTTGCACGTTGAGAAATGCGGCGAGAAGCCTGCGCATGCAATCACGTTTTACCGGTCTCGCTCAAACTACGTCAATATTGGACGTAAATCAGGATCTGACGATAAGTCCATGAGAAGAGAAAACGATGATCACAACGCTGTCTTTGCATGTCAGGTAGTGAGTGCGAGGCATGCGAAACTGGTTCTTTCGGATAGTGGACAGGTATATCTTCTCTAGGGTCAGGAGTCGCCGCTCAATGTCAATGCTAGGTATACATCATTGATCTTCATTCACGCCATGGGACACACCTCTTGAAAAGCGGGGAAACCCCCAAGACTTTGAAACCAGAAGTCGAAACCACCCTTGCTGACGGTGACAAGCTTACCTTCGGCAAGACGGTCGGCTCTGGCACGTATCTCGTGTCTCCTGTGGCCGTCCGCGTTGAACTCCTTCGTGATAACTCTTCTCGAATTACTCATCCATTGACCCCTCCCACTACTTCACCCACCCTGACCCGTAAGCTGAGCTCAGGCCGTTACGGGTTGTTCGTTCCTGCATCATATCCCGAGTCATCCTCTCCACATTCTTCATCCTCATCTTACGAAGCATCAGACGATGGTGCTTTTTCGCAGTCCGATCGAGATTCTGACATCGAAGAAGTTTCCTGTTCACCTTTCATTGTCCGTGACAAGGAGGACAACTTACGACCTGCCAAGATCCCAACTTTCCGTTCATTCGTCAATGATATCTATGCCTCACGTTTGTCTGCTGCCAAGAATGCTGTTCTTGCGTCATCCTCTTCTTCCCTGGAGGTGAACCCTCCCTCACCAGTAATGGTCGTCATCAACCCTACTTCCAACTCGCGCCTTCATTCGCCCATGGAGATATCCACGCGTTCTTCCTCACTGCCTTCAGAAGTACAGCATTCTGAACCAGCTGTGATCGGCGCATGGCCTGCCTCTCGTCCGCAGTCACCAACCTCCCCTACGATTGATGGCGAGCCACAAAAAATCGAACCTCCCACAAACTTTGAACCCCGTGACGATGGAACGTCGACTGATCATGTTGGAGAGAGTGATCCTTTGTCAGACAGTCTTCCGCATGAATTGATCAACCTTCGCCCCCCTCTATTCTTTCCCGTGGGCGGCCCCTTTAGCGATTCCATTTCAGCTGACTTTGGTTGCAACCCGTCTGTGCCTTCTTCGTCAGCTGATAGGCACCCCATTGACGGGAAATTACCTGAACATGCTATGAATGAACTACGAGCGGCCATAAAAAACGCTGAGGTAGAGGTTTTGTCCATATTACCGCGATCTTCTGTTTCTGAGATGATTACTAGGAACGAGTCGTGTCTTTGCAAGAAACCGTTGCAGACGTGAAAAGTCGTCAGTGCTTAGCCGAGGATGATATCATGGATCTCCAAACGCATGTTGACATGCTTGAACCCGAGTCGGACCAGTTACTCTCACGTATCAATCTGGCGGAGCGCAATATTGCGTCGTTGTCCAGTCTCCAAAGTCAGGTGAACACTCTTTGCAACAGACTTGATGCCCCAGAACCACGAACTCTCGATGCGCCTTTGAGCGATGTGAAAGCTTGCGCGGACGCTTTGAAAGCACTAGTTTCAGGTCCGGTTCCTGTCTTTGGTTTAGCCGCAGACACTGATAAGTACGTCTTGCAGAGATGAAAGTACTCCGACAAGATGCCGAGAAGCGGATAGACGAGAAGATAGATGCCATCAGCGTCGCGCGTAATGAGGCCCTGAGCGCAATTACAGTAGAAGTCGAGGTCGGTGCTTTGTTTCGCTATATCTCTGATCCACTGCTTACAAGAAACAGTCGTTGAAGTCTCTGAAGCGTAAACGTTGTGACGATGACGACGACTCGCAATACTCCAGAGACAATATGAAGGCTGCGGTCACGGTAGAGAATTCCCGTACTTCCCCGGAGGTTATCAGGCGACCGAAACGTGCAAAGACGGCGGTATACACAGCTGCGCGTACAGCAGCGGCGATGGCAGTAGGAGCAATTGCCACGTGGTCCGCTCTAGCATTTGCGTGAGGATATAAAACTGTAAGAGATATGTGTGGCGGATATGCACTCAAATTTTCATTTGTTGTACTCTAAACTTTTCGCTGTGTCTACTTGTGTACTCTACATCTTTGCTTTGTGGGCTTTGCTAGAGACTCGGTGAGGGGAGAGGCACTATGTAAGCGATGGTTGCTTTTATATGTAATCGGGTGTGGTGTAGCGGCTAACATGGCTGTCTTTCAAATCAACTATGGTTGGTCACAGCAGCTCCGGGTTCGACTCCCGGCATCCGAAGACTTTTTTGTACTACAGACTACTCACAACGCGCGCTGTCACTGTCACCCTCTGGCATGAAACGTGACGGTGGCGCGTCGACGACATTTGTGACACTTCAAACCCTTGAAACATGGTCCGTGTAGGTCCTAGTAGGTCGCGAAAATCACGAAGAGACCCTTCCACATCTCAGCAGCAGGCTCGAGGTCGCCATTTACCAGCGGTCGATGACGATGACGACGACGACCATGGCACAGAAGACGGTCAAGAGGAGGATTCTGAAATGGAAGTTGATGGTAGCCAGGCAAGGACGGACGATGGCCAAGGAGTAAAATCTCTCCTTACTTCTCTTTAGCCTTCGAGTCATCTAATGCGGCGGACTCTTTCCCGTTAGGAGCTCAACCGAAAGGCCTGCGACCTAGTTAGACTGGCGCTCTTCACAGAGCACAAACGTATCCCTCTTCGTAGGGAAGACATAACAAAGAAAGGTGTGTCCCATCTGCCGAAATCTCCTACCTGAGTATTTAATATTCATTTGGTGTAGTCCTCGGTTCAAATACTCGCTCTTTCAACGCTGTTTTTGAAAAGGCTCAGAAACTTCTACGCAAGACTTTTGCGATGGAATTAGTGGAACTTCAGGCGCGTAATTACCGTGAACAAGAGGCGACACCGGGCGACGACTTACAAGAAGCAAGGAACGCCACTGGCGTGAAGAAGAAAGGTGATTGTCGTCAACCAGAGCAACCACGGCCGTTCAGGACCACTAACGATGATTATCTCTTCATGTTTCCTGTAGCTACCGCTGCCGGATCGAAGACATACATCTTACGTTCTGTTCTTGACATAGCTATCATCGAGCAAGCGGCTGTGACAGATGAACGACTTCTCGAAGAGCAAATAGCCGAAGGTCCTAACGAAGATTACGAAGATGATATCCCTCGAAACTATGGGAGCATCATATCCTGGAGCAGTGCTGACCAATTGGCTGCTCTTGGCCTCCTTCACGTTATTCTCGCTCTGATTCTGGTCAATGGAAGATCTATGTCAGATTGTGCGTAATTTTCATGTGCTGTCACGACTTGTCTGAGGTCTTGTCGCGTTCGTTACAGTGGACCTCAGAGCTAATTTGAAACGACTCCATCTACCCTCGAACGCTTCAGTGACCATGAATGCGCGGTCCACGCACAGATCCATGCCTATTGACACGTATCTCTCTCAACTCATTCGTCAGGGTTACTTAGACCGTGCACGTCTGGGAGACAGCAAAGTCGCAGTGGGAAAGCGCGGGCGTGGTGTCCTTGCCACCCAGGTCAACGCCGATGATAACCAAGCATATGAATGGCGTTGGGGAAATCGTTCCTACTACGAGATTGGTGAACAGGAGGTTGCAACCTTCGTCGCCGAATTCATGGTCGATCGAGCAATGCGAGATGCAGTTGATGAGGACGACGAGGAATATGGTGCTCCTACGCGTGGACGTGGGAGGGGCAAGGGCAAACAGGATGATGCAGAGAAGAAATTAACGACGGTGCTGAAGGCTATCGAAAGAGCAGCTGGAGGTAACTTGGCTGGAATCAAATAGATTGGCCGTGTTTTGGAAGCTTAGTGTGATCCATACGTTATATTGTTCACTCTATTCAGTACGCTACCAATCGACGATATATGTATTTGTGCTACTTACATGTCTACGAGGTTTGGCTTGGGAGACGAGGCAGCACTTATTAATGCCTTATCAATGCAAAACGACACAGCAGAGTCGCACCGGTGTATCTACCCTTCATGTCCAACAATCGTACAAATCTCCACCCCTGCTGCAGCCAATCCAAACGAGCACAAAACACAACTAGTGGTTGATCATGACCTAGAATCTCGTGCCGGCAAACTTGCAACCTGGTGTGCTAGTCAGCAAGGTACGCAAAGGAGACGTACAGAACCGGAACCTGATGAACGCCAGCTGGTCGGCATCAAATTCCCACTCGAAAAGTTCATTCCAAGTAATATGCGAAATCTCCTCAGACGTTGTCTTGCACTTGACATGAGTAGATTTCCAGTCTTTTGTGCCCGCGAAGTGGAACAACTCAGCTCGACAGTACCCGGTGAATTCAGCATGGCCAGTAGGGGCCACTTGCGACAGGAATAAGATGTCAAGTCTCGCAGTCACGGTTAAAAGACCTACAGGAGCTGACCCCAAATATGTGTCCTTGGAGTTTTACCTGTCCTTTCAGTTCTTGGTCACCAAGTTCAGGCTTTACCACCCATCCATGAGACGCAACAAACATTGCTTCATTGAACTGCCGCCCGTCGTCAAAACGCTGCCAATTGAGACACGCCATTTGAGTACCGTTACGCCATTGCGCCAAAGGGTCCAGATTACTTGAGCTTAGTCGAAGTCCGCGGGGGTACACGCGACGGAGGTACAGCTGTGCGCTCTGAACGAGTTCCGGTAGTGCCTTGGGTATCAACGATAACATAGATGTCTCGCTGACATTGATCACGATATTAGACGGATGCGGGGGGCTCTGAATTTCTAGGAGGCATGCAATCATGTCATGACTTATATCAGGTAAATGGAAAGCCTTCATACCTTCGTATTGCCAGTTCTTGGCTGGCTTCATGCTGCGCATATAGAATCCGAGGCCCGCCAACGAATCCGCTATCTTGGAGTGGGTATGGGCAGTGTTGATATCCGGGTCCTCGTAGTCGTCGTCGTCGAAGGGCCCGTCGACCAGAAGCTCGTTGCAAGGCTGGGTGCTGTGTAGCTCTTCGGTTTCCGGAAGTTGATCGATGTCTCCAGTGCCCGGGTAGTATTCTACCTATCGACAATGTTAGCTGACGCCGCATCACAGAACAAAAGTAGGAGACTCGACGGAACACACCATGACAAGAATGCGTCCTCGGAGATCCCGAGGGGTTATCGTGTCCCCACTCAATCCTTCAATTTCCCCCCGAACCAGTTTGTGGCCCCATGCATCGTCCATAATGACCACAAGTTCGTGTTGTTTAGTCACGGGGACATGGCATTCAAGACTGACGAGTACCGGCCAATCGTCTTGATGGACAGCTTCACCTATGGCTTTGCAGACTTCCTGGAAGGGCACGCTCTTGCTCAATGTATGGCCATGGGTCACAACCGGTCCCTTGGAAGAGGACCACACGTCGATTTCGACACACCGTGCGTTCTCACCCAGGACATGGGTGTACGACTCAGACGAGGAGCGCCCAAGGACTTGCCATGAGACTAAATATGTATTATGGGAGGACCTAGAGGGCAAAAATGTCACGATGTGAATGAGAGGTTGACTGTTGGACGAACGAGATGAAGTAGCTTCTCAGTGGTAGGGTATCGTCGACGGCAGGAACACATACTGCTGGTTGCCTCAGCAGCCCATCTATGTCCTATTGTGGGTTCGTAATGTCGGCGCCATCTTTCAGAGACCAGCGTCTGAAGTGGAACTTACGGCCACAGCATTGTCCTTGAGGAAAGCAATCACCTCCGCACTCAGCTTCACGCCAGTGTCGGCAGGTGGCGAGATATTAACTTCAGCCTCTACAGCAAGAAGTTCTTGCTTCCAGTCGGTGTCGCAAAGCTGTCCTTGGATGTGCGACATTCAACGAAATTTGAACGACCAGCAACGTGGCAGGCTGCCGTCAGTTAATTACTTCACCACGCATATCCCGTTGAAGTTTAGATTGCTGTAAATAAAGCTACAGAAAATGACCCGACGAACGAATAGTATCTGCGTGCCCACACCCGATGCAAAAGTGTGCTAGTATAACGTGTATGGTTTGTGGTCTCTTTGGCACGCATCGAGAACGGCACAAAATGTCTGAAACCACTCATGATAACAGAATTTTTGGCTGCAACTCAAAGCTCTGGGCGGTGTGTGACCTATGTAGATCCGAGAGCTGCAGTGGATCTTGCAATTCAAACTCTTCTGTATCCACAGATACCCGGCGAAGGTTCAGAATGAGGCGGGCGAGAGTTATGTTACTAATACTCCAGATAAAACTGAGGAGGTACAGTCAGGGTCAACAATCAGGTGGAAGTCGGACATCACATACAAGAGACCCAAGAAAATCAGAGGGAGCTACGAAGCGTATCAGAGGTGCAAAAATGCCAATTGATGCCCTGCTTACCGGTGCGGTAATGGATAGAACCAAGTTGACCAGACGTAGTGCTGCGATCAAACTAAGCAACGATTGAGGAAAGGAAGGGTGAGTCGTTACCAAACAAGCCCTGTGAACAAAAAGGAAATGAGCAACTGTTGCATTTCGCAATATCGAATGACTCACGAAAAAATATACACTCCCATCTCGATACAAGATCTTGGCCATCTGCACATCTTGCGGCATTGGACGGTCAAGGGCGTTCCAGCACGTCGTCGCAAAGATCATGAGCTCAAATACAATCTGCTCTGGGACGTTGGTAAAGGCAATTTCAAGGATGCGCCACCTACACCCGGACTCCACAGCAAGATGAGTTTGGGTTTTTCGGTAAAATTGCAAATATACAGAGTCGGGTCGAATACCAATATCGCTGAAGACAACGTTGGAGAGGAGAGTCAGGGAGTGAAGAGGGTACGCACGGAGCATCGACGACACAAAATATCCAGTCAGCCCGAGAGCCGCCATTTGTGTCACGATAAATAAAACGAGTGTCCAAAGTACAAGTCGAGGCTTACGATCCCAGAGAACCCACAGACGGAGCAACACTAGGACTGTTTCAAGTCAGCACGATATTCACCATCAAGCCTCATTCCTCACAGTTACTGGTAGCTATAGAGACCATTCCTATAACGGTGGCGAGCGCAAACCATCCTCTGCAGCTGACCGAAAGTTTATCAGATCCTCATAAAGGCATGTTTTCGTCAACTCACAACTGTTCCAAATAAATCAGCGATGAATCAGAGCGATCTCAAGTCAATTAGTTGCTGCATACCTTGTCTGAGAGATATGGATTTGATACACCACTGATTCCTGGAAAAGACATTGGAATAAGGCGCCAGGACTTTCAATTCTCA